ATATATATATATATATATATTTATGAAAAGAATTTACTTTGCGGCTACGAATGGTAAATGCAGTTGCCGAGTTTGACGTAGAAAAAAGGAGAGTTTTATGAATTTCTTTGGGTCGATTTCATGATTGAGATTGGAACTTTACATATTGGACTATGAAGGGTGAAATGAAATCCAATTCAACAGCGGCGCAAAACTTTCAAACAAATCAACTATATGATTCACACTTATCTTTGCATAAACGAATTACAGTCATTCAATTCTACAGTTCATATATCTTTCCATTTCACACAAGAATAAAGCAAATTTTATGAAATAAAATTTAGTCAACGTCTTGGCCAGAAAACATGAGTTTAGTCAAGCTCGTCGTACAGTTGAATCTGGCGGCCATTCAATGGCTGCACAGGCCTTGCATTGCTCTTGAAAGCTGAGCTCAATGGAGCTTGCAGAGCTGCTAATTGTTCCTTTGAAATTGTTCTCACCTGCACATTTTATCGACCATTTTCAGGCTTACATGTATACCTTAATTTTCCAGATAACGAATTTATGAAGGTAGATGCATGGATATTAGCTACCTTTCCGAGGATGTTCCAGGTAACATTCTCAGTGCAGGGAGGAGAGGTGAGGGAGCCAACATATCTATAGTACCTGCGGCTCTTGCGCTTGAGTTGCTTGGGATCCAATTCCCCTAATTTAACTACAGACACTTCATCTTCTGAACATTTATCCTTGGCCATTTCATCCAAGCCATCCTTAATCTGATATAATAAATCACTAACTTTGATTAGTTATATCAGAATGATGTCTTGCAATACGGCTTCCGGCTTCCGGCACCGGCACAAGCCGTATTGCAACATCATGACCCTTGGACGAGTAGGACTTAGTGTTGACCCTACTTATCCAAGGGCTGAGATTTTGTGATTCAGACTTCAAAGATGATTTCTGTAATCATTGGAATGGAAGATGTACCTTGTTCAAAAATGGATCAGGATCGCCAGTCTGGTAGAGGATTGCTACAACTGAAATGCTTTTATCACTAGCAAGGTGAACCAAATGAAGCTCAGCTGCGTATCTGCAGTAAAGGTGACAAAAATTTTCAAAAAAGAGAGGGGGGTAGGTGGTGGAGAAGAAGTTATAACTAGAGGTGAGAAGAAGGTGTGATTGCATACTGGACTCCTTCAATTTGGTGCTCTGAAGGAGAATGCCAGTGCATCTGCACAAGGGAGTAAGTTTTTCCATCTATATCCACATCCCCTGCCTCTGACTCGTAATGAATCTGGACTCACCAAAACCAACAGCACTTAATCAATAAGCACTTTTTTTTTTTTTGGTAGTGTTTCTGTGAAATAAATTAAGTAGTCAGCAAATTACCCCAACAAGGAATCCATTGTTGACCAGGGAAACATTGGCTGGTTTGTAGGTTCTGGTTAAGGCTTTCAGGTTGCTGTTGACGGTTTGGTTCTTTATAATGTTCACCGGAGATTGCATTTTTCCGGTACAGGCTGTGTTATTTGGATCCAGACTACTCCAATGCTCCGGTCCTGTTGGACCTGAGTAACTGAACGAAATCTTCTCAACCGCTAGCAAAAGATAACAAATATGAGAAGTGAGTTTAATTAAGAGATTCAGGGGACTACTACTCCAATCAACATATTCAATATGGTCCCCCTTTACATTTTGAATTACACCGAATTATAAAAAGAAAAAAAAAATTTTGGATGAGGGAAGAGGCTCCACATTCAGGGGACTACTACCCCATTCAAGGTAACAAGGATACTTAAATGGGAGAGGAGGAGGCAACACATTTTTGAGAGTCCAGATTGCGCAACATTTCTATGTTTGAAGATAAGTTAAAGTTGAGTCCTAGAGAGGACAGAAACCATGTTGAAACTTTCAAGTTCAAATTGACTAAATGCACTAAAAATCCAAAGTTCGAACATAAAATGAAAACATACCTAGGTCATCGGAGGAGGCGGCGGCAGTGCCAAGTAGGAGGAACGTCAGGAGGGTGGAAGAGAAGGAGAATGTTGGAGAGGCCATGGCTGATATGAAAATTGTGTTTCCGTTTCTGGAGGGACTAGAAATATAGAAGGGATGAATGTGGGTTTGTTAATGTAATGTGTGGCTAAGGTATGAGGGATGCCATATTTAGAGCGAAATGTGCTAAAGTTGGCAATGGTTTTTCGAAATTCTTGCAGAACCTTGTGTTTGAGTGCAAGATTGTTCTTGTCGGAAAATTGGTGTGACCGAATTCCATTGTAATAGAAAGTTCTGAGAGATAAGAGGAATCAGAAAACAACACTTGTTTTTTTGGGCCATATAGTTATGTTTGATAACTGTCTCAAAAACCTTAGTTTACTATATTTATAATCTTTTTTTTTTAGATTAATTTTTAGGTTTATAATATTGTCTATAATTATAATCACTAAAAAATATGGAGGTTCGGAGGGTTTTTTTGTTTTTATTGAAAAAAATTTGGTTTTTTTTTAATTGCCTTTTGGTTTTTGATTTTTTTAATTGGAAAATTGTTTCTTGTTTTTTTTTTTTTTTAAGTTTTACGTTACTTGATTCTGATTAGTCGAAACTTATCAAATATCGAGATATTAATAAATAAAAAAAAGAGTCAAGCTAGTCATTTTAATTTAAACTACAAATTTGATTAGTTTTATTACAAGAATTTGCGGTTGTACATTTAGCTTGAGAGGACTATTAAATTAAGAAAATAACACCCTTCTTCTAATGGTTTAATCTGGTAAAATCTGACTTAACCTCCAACCACTGAAAAGACCCTTAAATGGATCCCATGCCTTGGATTATAGCCATCACTAATTTTATTAAAACCATTAATTTTACTTATAATTTTATTAATTTATAATTTTTTAAATAATTAATTTAATATATAGAAATATTTATTTATAAATTAATTTTAACATATTAAATAATAAATATTAATTATTTTATAAATTATTAACTACTTTTAACAATCAAATCAAAATAAAATAGAACTTGCCCCCATAAGACCAAGTGATCTTCGTCACTCTTGTAAATGTTCACCTTTCCCTCTTTTTGATAACGGTTCAATCCGATCCCATAACACTTGTTCAAAAAAAAAATCAAATTAAAATAAAATTTTGACAACTTTTGGAACCCAAAAAAGGTTAACAGTGGCTTGAACCAAGCCACTTTCACCTATCAAAGAAGGAAAAATAGGTGAAACTCCCCATTTATACCTCTTATATAATTGTTATCCATGCTCGACACCTTCAAGAATTACAGCAGAGAATGGCAGTGCTTTATTTCAATATCAAGGAAGAGTTATACATATGCTCATATTCCGGAATAAATGAAAGCATCCCTAAATATTGTTGCTTATCATAGTACATAGGTTGCTTTCAAGTATTCCACAATTTCTGCACTTTCAAACATTTTCACCCCAGTATTTGGGTCTTCTAAGTAAGGTACCTGTTGTTGACCACAAGAAGCAAGTGAGAGAGTAATAGAATAGACATTAATACTCAATGAACAGAACAAATACTAAAATACCTGAAAATGTCCAACTTTCTCATAGAACATCTGCCGTTTTGGGCTACCCCGCGCACAACTAATAGAACCAAGGAAAAAAATAAAAAACGAAAATTAGTAAAATATGTCTCAGACATGTGCACAAGGTAGAATGGACATCATCAAAGAGAATGCAGATTAGAGATTTTACCAGTGTTGAATATGAGGTAACTCTAACTCCACTAGCGCTTCTCGCACAAGCTTGCAGAATGGGGAACCCTGAAGGGTATGATAAATAAGAGGGTGAACATAATCGCATGCATTTTTGGCAAAGATGACATCAAAGATATCTCATATAACTGATCATGCAAAGACTGACTACCCCAAAATACTAACCTCATATGCCCATATTTCGAGTGGCTTTGGAGGTAATTTTGATGGAATGTAGGAAGAACCCTGCATGGAGCACAAGATAGTTTGGTGATTATATTTTGCAGTCTCCTTGATTACTTTATAGAAAATTGTGATAAGCTAAATAGCAATTTGAAGAAAAAACCCATGTTAAAAGAGATTTCCCAAAGAGGCAAATGGAAAAAGAAATTAAACAGCTTTTCCCCTAATATCATTATTTATACTTGGCCAGAAGAAATTTGACAATTTACAGAGCTCAGTAGGAATTCCACATCCATCTTACTCTTCCCAGGCGGCCAATCATAGCGAAGCCTGCAGTTAATGTCTGCAACATATATAACAATCAGAATACTTTTTCTGAAGATTGATAAAAATTATAATTAGAAGAGTTATGTTCTAACCGTCAGCAATCCAAGTGATAGCATGAAGGGCACACTTCCATCACCTAAAGTAATAACAAACCAGGAAGATGAAAGTCTTGTAGAGTACAGGGAATAAACTCACTGCATAAGAAAACTAAAATATAAACTGCGAAATTTGGGACATTTCAAAATAGGCATCAGCTTAGACAAGGTAATAATAACACTAGCTAAGAACTTGGCTTCAACTGGTAATTGTTACCCTTCCTTCCTTAGAGGTCCAAGGTCAATTCGCACTCCTTTCTTGGTCTCCCATGGGTGCCAAAAAAGGAGAAAAAAGAAGGAAAAAAGGAAGGAAGAAATAAACAAAACATGTTATGTCTGTACTTAAGGCACTTTAATAAGGAAAAAGTAAGGAAACACAATCACTAGAGTCTCTGCAAGGCCAATTGAAAAACGGAAAAGTAACTATGTCACCATAAAAATGGATTACAAAATGCATGAATTTTGTATCTAGAAATCACAATATATGGTCTACTGAAGACGTGGAAAAAAGAAATAAAGAAATAAAGAAATAACAAAAAAGAAACAAATGCTTAGCAGGTCAATGTAATGGCATGTACCATATTTTCCAACTAGATACTTGATTATTTCATCCGATTCATACATAGCAACTCCTGTGTTTGGATCCACCTGAAACAAGAACATACGTAAACAGTCAATTGAGGGTCCAATTTTGTGTTTGCATTGTTTTTGACATGTAAACAGGTAATTGCTTATTTCTTGAATACTTGTTTTTGGATAGCATGGGTGTTTGGGTCTTTGGACCAATTAGTCCCACAAGCACCTACAAACTGCCCCATTCACAAGCAATGGGCAAAGCTCCACCCAAGGGTAGCAGCTGGCTGAAATTATTATTTATTTTGAATAATGGTTATGGAACATATGATGACAATGTCATGTAGATTCTTTGCAAGGAAAGGGATAATATCTAACCATGTATGGAAATTGCTGTTTTCCACCCATCTGAGCAACCTTAGGACGGAAGTTTGGACCATTTTTGGGGCAGGGATAAAACAGAACGTCAAGATCCAAAACTGCAACAATTTCCCTAACCTGAAGATCCTTAAAATATCAGTCCAATTATAATATATAACAGGGTAATAGAATAAAATTCCAATCAAATATCAAAGGAAAGCAACTATATTATAGCAGATCTATTACACCTTACTGACCTTAATTAATAATAATTCACAATTAAATATGTAAGGAGAACAAGAAGGTAAGCAAATCTCAAAAGAGGCCAACTTTGCATAAGAAATTCTGTTCCTAATTAGAACCACAAATTTAGTATCAACAGTCAAACATACGAAGTCACCTTATCATCCTACCGTTTTAGATTTGCCTATACAGCCAGACTTCAGACAAACATTTTTTCTGGGAGTTACACTGAATCACATTTACCCAAGATAGGATAAATGGAGCATTGCTCCACAATATTTATTTTCAGAACAAGATCTGGTATCATAATTCAATTATTCAATTAAATTAATATAAAACAGCATCCAATAGATAAAATTAGTCAATTACCTTTCGACAGAATGGGCAGCTGAAGGTTGTTTGTGGTCCATAGTAATCCACATTTTGGAGAAAATAGTACAACTTTATTCATCAGAATTGAGACATAGAAATTAAAGGGCAGTGTAAAGGGAAAAGAAATAAAGAGGTCAATTAAAATAAAATGGATGTGAGCATTTAGCTCAAGATTAGCTGGAAAATGAAAACAAGAAAAATGAAAAAGATCCGATTTCAAACTTCAAGTACCTCTCAAACTCGTATATCTCAATAGGCTTCTCTGGACGAGGACCTAATTTCGATGTTTCTTTCACCTTATAGCCTGTTAAGGAAACAGCACATCAATATATAAAATGAAACTTGGTGAAACACTATGATTTGAAATTGAAATTGAAATTTGAATAGCATGTCCAGCTGCATTGCACCCAATGGGTTAAATAAATATATTTTGTCCAAACAAAATTTTTACTACCATCAGCCAGCTCATAACCACTGCAGAGACAGGTAAAACTGAGAAGAAATTTTGAGGCCCACCTGCTACATCTAGAGCATACTGGTCAGGTGGAAACTCATCCTTGGGAACAAAAGATGGAGAATACCTGCCACACATATAAAACGGCAACAAGACTCAGAAAGATTTACCAGGGCAATCAACACATAAAAGGGTCTAAAGCGTTTTATCTTTTCAGCAGTGCACGGTTACCAAAACAGTAGAAACACTTGAGGTAAAGGCTAAACTTAGAGGTCAGTTGTTATTCATAAACAGTTTTTCAGATGATATCAATTAAAATTGATGTCTTTGCCTGTATATGTTCAGCCTTATTCTCCCCACTGATGTGATCACGATACATCCCTTCCCACTTTCTTATTTGGGGGCACTTGCCCTTTTCAACCTAAGGGTTCTGCCTCAAAGAACCATTCTTCATTCTCCCATCTTCAATCATAGTTACATTTTTATTATGGTCTATAGATTCCAAAGAATACTCACTAAAACATCAGCAATAGCCAATAGGAAGCCAACTTTCATTTCTTTGGATGGCAGATAGCTTAAAGGACATCATCTGCACGCTCTAATATAAATTCCAAGCATGTAAACTAGGCAAGCAAAATCAGTCTACTTTTTGTTTCTAATGTCTAGCTATATGTTTTTTCCATATTCAGAAGACGGTATAAGCAAACAGAAGGCAGGAGTTGCAGGAACAAAACTAATGAGAAATTAATCTGTCCCAGGAGAATAGAATCATTGGTGCAGAAGTAGACCAAAAACAAGCAATATGATAAAGAGGGCAACCAAACCAATCACAGAGTAATTATCCATAACTGGCAACAAGGACTGCAAATTTAATATTCAAGGAAAAGAGAAGTAGACAGAAATTTTATTTTACATGGCCGAACTTCCATTGGGCTACCCAGAACCTGCAGCACTCATCCATTTATGAGGCCACTGTGATTACCAAAATTCAGTCAGAGAATCCAGGAAAAGCACCATGTGCCTACCACTGAGTTAATTAATCCTTTTTATAATTTATTTATTTATTAATCATTCTTCTTCACAAACATTGCCAGAAGGACAGAGTTATCTTCTCCCACATTGCCTTGAAGCCTCAAACCTCAAAGAGGAAATGGCATGTTAAACTGACTGGATTTTGTCTATAATAATGAATACATCCTAGTAGATGATTCTTCTTTTCTTGAATTCTCGAGGTTAGTGAGCAAAGGAATATGTACATTGTGTTTGTCTTTGATAGTTAATCATCAAAAAACACATTTCAAGAAGCAAACAGCCCAAAGTTAGTGATCTTTCACTAGGAGAATCGCATTAAATTTTCTTTATTCATACTCAAATTGCAGTAAGTCAAACCCATCAATATTTGTCCAGAACAAAATGAGTAAACATCAACGAACAATTGTATAAGTAATCCCACTTCAGAACAAGTAGCATTTGAGAAGCTTAGCAAAAGAATACAAAGGATTATGATCCAATTCAGATTCATCCATTTTATTTTGCACACAGCCACACACATAAGAAACTTCTACCTGATCCCACCATAACCCCAAATTTTGTATTAAGCTGAACAGTTAATAATAAGTTTCCATTACCTTATTATCATCTCCTCCACTATCTCTGTAAACAAAAATAACAAAAAAGAATCCCACCGTAGAAACCATCAAAGGGGCAATAGGGAAGAAAAGAAAAGTTCTTACCCAGAAACAAAAACACCAGTCCCGAACCTAAAAAACAAGGCAAGGGAGGCCCTTAAGATGTCCCAGGTCTTATCGGGTCTAACTCCAAACCGCTTCGGCTCCGGCGGCTTGAAGTTCGGAGGTGGAGCAAATGTTACCGTTGAAGATGACCCAACGCTCTGTTTCTCCTCTTCTTTAGTGCTAATTGAGGGTTCTGAAGAGGCTTTGACGAAAAAGGAGATTCTGGGCGGCTTGCGCCGCGAAAGAGGCCCGAGAAGCGGGATAGTGGGTATGTTGAACGCCACCGCCATGGCTTTTCCTGCTTGGATTCTGGTGAGAAATGGAACTCAAAAAATCTTCTTTGTAATCTTGCTTTGTTTTGGGTCTAGCTGTTCCTAGGTAGGGGACAAGAACGAGCCAGTAGTATAGTTACAGCAGGTTTCACGGCCATTCATTTTGCTTGATTTTGTCTTTTTAGGAAGATAATTCATTCCTGTGCATTAGACAAGACACAAGAAAATTTTTTCTAAAATCCTCCACTTATTTTTTCCCCGAGAAAATTCTTTCTTGGCCCCAAAAAATTGATCCACATTTTCTTTCCCGTGGAGGGCTGAAGGTGAAATATCAAACCCCATTTTTCTTGCTTTTGCAGCAGTGGTTGCATATAGCCATGACCACGGTTCGAATTGCTATGATCATATTCAGCAATTGGTCTGCGTCAGGTCTTCTTTATTGAAATTATTGTGGAAATCAACCTTATATTTTTTATTGAAATAAATTTCTACTCATCCTTTCTAGTTAAATGAAATTATCACTCTTATAATTCCATTAATAACATATAATTATGTGTAATTTATTTCAACTTAAATACAAGAAGGTTAGTTTCATTTAATTTAAAAATATGAACAAAGATTTATTTATTTTTTTAAATATATATGTTAACTTCAATAATCATTGAAAATTGAGGGTTAAATATACTTTTTTTTCACAATCATATTCAGTTTCTATTTTTCTTGCTTGTTAGGATCTTATACCATCATTAATTACCTTCATAGAAGTTACAAACCAAATTCAATTCATAAGGTTTTAGAATTGATTTAGCTTATTCGGTGAAAGCGATATTATTTATCATTTATTTGGTTAAAATTCGAGGTTATTAATCTTATTTCTCTTTTTCATTCTTAAAAAATTGTAGTTTATTTAAAAGACTTTAAAATTTACTAAAACTTAAATTTTAGTCGGCATAATTTCCAGTCCACTATAAAGTTGCAGTCTTGCAGCAATGTTTGCCATTGAAACACTCATAATTCAGGATTAAAGCATAAGGAAGATGATTACCTACAAGAATACGCATGGCTGAAACAAAATATGTGTAAATAAGCTAAGGAAATCTAATTAGTGCTTAAGAAATGATTACTGAATAAGAGAATTATAATTGGCGGTGCAGGCCAACCATTGGAAGGCAAGCATCATGATAATTAAAAAAGCCAAGTACTCACCAACCATTGCACAAGAGGCCACAACTCAAAAAAGTTTATGCAGAAAGCTGCCAAAACAAGGCGAATTTCAACTCAAAAAATGGATTCAAAACTTTACTTGTCGCATACATTTTGGTTGGCGTAATTTCCACAAAAGTTGCAGAAAATGTCTACTATTGAGCAAGACAAGACCCCACATGTGCACTATGTAGATCAAGCTCAGAAAATCTAAGTAGTTAATGAGCATTGAAGTAATAAATCAAGAAATGTTTGACCAAATAAGAGAATTCTTACCGGCGGTGCCGGCCAACCATTCGAAAGCAAGTGTCATGATCTAGTAGGCGCTCTGTTGGCCGACCATGGTCCCCCCTGGACCAAGTCTAGAAGGCACACAAAGTAAAAAGGGGAGGATGAAGTGAAATCAAAGTTCTTTTGGTGTGTGTAGCCAAGAAATTATAGTAGACTTAAAAGAGAATGAGAAAGGAATGTTTCTGGTATGAAAATACTGTTGCTTTTTCATTTGGAGTAGCTAAAGCCTATGGTTAAAAAAACATGCGTGATGAACTTTCTAATCCTTCATTTCAAAATGGAATCTTACTTCTTGGAGAAGGGAATTTTGATTCAAACAGGCGCAGACAAGCTAATGACCATTACAAGTAAAACCAGAAAAAAGAATGGAAAAAGCCAATAAAATGAATGTGAAAATAAACATCACACATATAGATGGATTCTTTAAGTTGATAATAATCATCCCTATTGGTAAGAAGAAACTCATCAAAGGAAAAAGAAAAAAGTAGAGAAAGTTTGGATCTTTTTGAGGGCTAATAATGACATGCATGAGATGCAGAAACCAAAATTCCAATCTGCTAGAACAGGACTGATTTGTTATGATTGCCCCATAAATCTAAGTAGTGCATTGTGAAAGATTGGTGCATAAGCATTCATCAGCCTGACGTAATTAGCCATTGTAATCCTTTGGAGAACCCAGATAACCCAGAAAAATGAAAAAATATCATTGGCGAGAGCACTTTCGGTTTCCATTTCTAAGATATCCTCAAGTAAGAGACAAAGAGCAAGATATTTTAGATCTGTATCTTCTCTTATAGCCAGAAAGGAAAAAAAAAAAAAAAAATCTAGGATTCATGAAAGCAGTGCAAGCATCAGACCCACCACCAAATGCTGGTTTGCCATCTGTAGTTGTGATGAATATGATCATTATAAACTATAAACATCACCGGTCTTTTTAGTAAACCACAATGTTGCCACTATCTTTTAAAATAAGAACAGCAAAAAAATACATATACCAACCCAACGAAGGATTTGCTCATTCAGCCATTCTTAATTTGCATCAACAGTGATTATAGTGATTCTTTCCTTTGTGTCATCAATAGTTAATTCCCACTTTTGGTTTTTTAGAATATTTATGCGCAGGCCATAAAACTTAATGCTCCTGTTAAAGTTACTCGTCATTTCCCTCACCTAAGTCTCCTGTTTCTATTTTCTATTATGGCCTTCCTTAGAGTTTTTCCAAAAGAGGTGTTGATTTTTCTACTTCTCACTAATTAAAGAATTACCCCCAACTCCCTTTGGCAAGCATGCGTGTTTGACAACATCATTCAGCACTAAACAACTATTTTCCTCCATACTCTTCATTCTCCACTATTCCTGATCTTATCCCAAGTTGGTTGCAGTCGTTTTCAAACATTCCCTCCAGGAAAAAAAAAAAAAAAAAACCATCTTTCTCCACAAACTTACAACGCTGCCATTATGTTCTCTTTCTTAGGATCTTAACGGGAACTTCAATACAAATTAGAGGCTGCTGGAACTAGCTATCCTTGCACTTGCTTCACCAAAATTTCCTTAGATTCTAAGTCTTCAAGATTACCTCAGAAATGTTCTCTGTTGAAATTAAAGACTATTGATTCTGTTTTCTAGGAAAGAATTACCTCATGGATTTTGATACATGTTTTTCTTAAAGGAAGACAGAAAAAGTAATAATAATTAACTAGTGCTATTATGGTATTGGTTAGCAAGAGGATTGAAAAATTGCAATCGAACAACAAATATGATCAAAGAGAAACAGACAAACAAGATGGTGTTTTCATGCGTTACCCACTTTTGGAGAGTGATTACGCTAACATGTTTTTAATGCTTTTACAATTTTACTGCTGCAGCTCCAGCTCCAGCTCCGACCAAATAGTCAATGTTGCAGATGCGGTGTCAAAGACAGAGCCCATCCACATAGCACAATGGTCAAAACACTTCAATTTTGGTTGGTCCTACTGGATCCTGGCTGATCTTTGGCTGTAAAAAGAATGGCATCTGATCAAAATCCCCTTACAAACCAACTGCTAGGAACACAACTCTGATATGACTCATTTGTCACATTCATAGAATGATATAAATAGAAACAGACAGAGTAACAATGAGGCTCTACCTTCGAGCTGTAAAAAAAGGAATTAATTGAGATGGTGACTTTCAAGTCCAGCTTCCACACCAGCAAAAATCAACCTACAATGGGACCAAGCAAAAGGTCAAGAGGCATTTATGTAATATATCAAAGTTAATAAGGGTATTTTCACAACCAACCTTCTTTATATACAATTCTTTTATGCTTCTGTTCTAATACCATTCACTCAATAATTCTTCTTTCATGTTAGTGCTCTTTTTCGTATTAAGCAGTAACAGGTAACAGCCATGGGGAATTGCTTAGTTCCGCAAGACAAGGTGGTCAGGGTTATGAAAAATGATGGAAAAATCCTGGAATATCAAGAACCCATCAAAGTTCACCAAGTGTTGTCAGAATTCTCAGGCCATGCACTGTCTGATTCTTTTCCAGGTTGCCATCATCTCCAGCCGGATACAAAACTACTTTCCGGACATTTATACTATCTTATACCTCTACCTTTGGCATCCCAAAAGGTAAAAAAGAAGGTGAGGTTTTCAAATCCAGAGGCTGATGGTGAACAGGGAACTGGTGTCGTGAGGATTAAGCTGGTGATCAGTAAGCAAGAACTGCGGGAGATGCTTCAAAAGGAAGGAGTTTCAGTTCCTGAGATGATCTCTAAGGCTCAGAGCAGAAAAAGTGAAAGCAAGATTGATACGTCAGAAGGTGATGATAACTGCAGAGGGTGGAAGCCTGTATTAGAAAGCATATCTGAAGTAAACTAGCAAAGCATGTGTACCATAATATGAATAATATTCCCTAGTTTAGCATAGAAAATTGACATTTATCACTGATAGCTACTGCAATGATAACTTTTCAGCTTGTTCATAATATGAGTAATATTCCTTAGTTTAGCATAGAAACTTGACATGTATCAACGATAGATACTGCAAATATAATTTTTCAGCTTGTTCTCACAAAAGCTGCAAATTGTAGGATGTTTCTATTATAAAATCATCAGCTAAAATCAGAATTTCTTCTCTAAAATTTCATGTATGCTACTATTCAAATGGCTTTGGCCACCCAACAGAGGAGAAAATAAAGAACATCACTCTGCAGCACATGATAAGTCAATACTAATGAGAATTAAAGCCCCATCAACCTAGACATGTCTGTGATGAGATAAAACAAATTTACAAACAACAATCAATCTCAGAAGGTTTTGATATCGCAGCAGAGTACCTAAGCCAAATGGTATTCTGAATCAAACTAAGGCATGCTAGCGTTTTGCACGAGAAACATATTTCTATATGAGAAGTGCCATAGCGAAAAGGTGAAGTTGAAATACAGGCAGGCCACTTGAAGTCCTTGTCTCACCTGCCAAGACACTAAAAGAGATGCTTTTCTAATGGATAGTCACCAAAGGAGGCTTGTAAAGGAAAAAAGAAAAAAAAATAATTTGTAATTATGTTGACATCAAAGATTGAGTTACGACTTGTCATGAGGAATTGTTTGTTTTCGGCCCTCTGGCCTCACTGTTTTTGCCCTCAAAAAAGGCGCTTATGGGTGAAGGGGTAAGCCCATAATTATAAGCCACAATTATTCTTGATTTCCATTTGATGTGGAATTCTTACCTCACTCCACCTTCCGTCAGCATCTATAGAAAGAAAGCTATGCCAATACCACCCCTGAATCATATGTAAAATGTTGGCCTAAAAAATAATCACATGGACAATAAGCTTAATAACATCCTTAGTCATCCATTGTTTCCAAATAACTATGGTTATGGTGGTGTGGCTACTGCCCCAACCATAATGGCATTCTTGGTGCTATCGTCAATAATAAAGATACAATTGATGCATCAATTTATGGCACAAATCAACTAACCCTAATAAGCTTGTGATAGTGTTACAAAGTTTGGTATCTTATTTTCTCTATTTTTCCAATACCATCCTCATACACAAGCCCTCATTTTGTAATCACAAGCATTTAACACTTGCAGTCAATAAAATGTCAAAGAATATTAACAATATTCAAACCATTTTCTATGTAGGACACTTCTGAAGAAGCACCTTGAGCATTTTTGCCTATATCATAAGTAGTTAAGAAGAAAAAACAGAACATCATGGTAAAAGAGCAGCGAGAACACATTCGTTCCAACTTCCATTCAATGACCTCTGGAAAAAATTTAGGTTAAAACTCCATTTTGGTCTCTTTACTTTAACAAAAAGCCCCTTTTTTGTCTCTCAATTATCTTTTTGCACATGTGGTACGTTAAATAACAAAAATTTCAATGCAGAGAGACTAAAAAAGGGTTTTTTTTTTAAGTAGAGGACCAAAAAGGTCTTTTTTAGTCCCTTTATTTTGGAATTTCTATCATTTAATGTGCCACATGTGTGAAAAAGATAACAGAGGGACTAAAATTGGGGCTATATAATAAACTTTTGGGACTAAAAAGGGGCTTTCTTAAGTAGAGGGACTAAAAAGCGGCTTTTGGTTAAAGTAGAGGAACCAAAATGGGTTTAACCAAAAATTTAAATAACAATTTCATGTTGTTATTGAAAGTGCAAGATAGAGATGTAATACAATAATTTTTATTTCACTAATTATACAATCATATTATTGATTTGTCACTTACAAAACATAAAACATAAAACCGTCTGATTGGGAAGGTATCAAACAGGTTGCTAGGCTAAATTTACAGGGGTATAATATGAAACAGTATACCTTCATGTTCTAGAATCCCTAGCCTAGAGCTATTCTTCCTTCCTTTCTAGTTCCAGCGCAATCTCATTTCGACGTGTAAAGGGAAGTGTAAATGGTGGATTGTACTGCAACCAAAATTATAAGGAGGTGGTGGTATTCAGAAAAGGATTTCAGGAAGTGAGTAATTCAGATACCTTTTTTTTTTTTTTCTGTCATTAAATAATAATTTTAAGATAGATCCAATCCAACCTGTGCAACTTCTACGGATGCACCCTCTTTTACTTGAAATTGCCTGTTATTTTTCAGAGCATCTCTTAATTGCAATTCCCTTCGTTTAACTTCCTCATCAGTAACAAAACCTGATCCAAGTGAAGATCATAAACAATGTCAGTACCATAGATATGGTCTGAAGAGCTTTTGAAATGCAAAGGCACAAGAGTTTGATCTAAATTCCAAGAAATTGTATGTTTATCAGAGCTGAGCTATTGTTTATTTAAATGAATTGCCATTTGTAAAAGATAACATGCTTTTTATTTGAATACTTGTTGAATCTAATATAATTGGCTACCAGCTATGATACAAAAACAAAAATGATATAAGCATGTACTTAAAACTATTAATACATCCAATAAAATACATTTACTTATACAAAAGAAGTACATAGTTTGATTTTTGTCCTTTTCCAGTAGTTAAACAACCATGTTGATGTTACCTTTTAATGGATCAAAAGTTAAGAACAAACCTGAGAAGGCAACAACTGCAACAACCCTCCTTGGAACCTCTGTAATGCGTACAGATGGATCTTTAGGCAATGGCAAGTTGGCACCATATTTCGAAGGCATGACAAAGGACATTTGCCACTTATCTTGGTCTTTCAACTTCAAAGATATGTAATGAAATTAGAGTATGATTAAAAAAAGAGAGTAGAGTGAGAAAATCAGTATGTCTACATATGATTATATTCAACTGCTGAAGTGCACAGATGGTTCAAATGTAGCAATTGTGATCAATAAACAAGGCAAACAAGATGGCAAGAAAAAAGGGTAAACCCATAAAAGGAAACTGAATTCGGTAAGCAATCTCCATCAGAACAGAATTGCATGATTCATTTCAAGCAAGAAACGAATTTCTCTTAGCAAACCAGAACACTATAACATGGCATCACATTTCAAGGCCAATGCTGGCATTTCAAAGCTTCATAGATGGAAGGGAGAAAATGATGAAGCTAATTCATGTCATAAAAAAGAAATCACCTTCTTTGTGATTACAGGTGTTGTCATGTCCATTTTCTCTCCAACAGGTTCAGTCTTACGTGTAAAAACAGGCGTGGTCATCTCCATTTTCTCCATTTTCGTGTTCTGCATCATGGGAGAACAACATTAAGCAACTTAACATTGTTTATAAAAATGGTAAAACTTGCCCCCAGAAAAATCTTAAGTTAACTACCTTACCGAACAGAAATTCAGCTAGGATATTGAAAGACTGAGATGCACCACTAAAATCAAATCCAGTATCCCCGGGCATGGTTGTCTCAGCTATAAAATAAGGCTGAACAAAAAGTTATACCTGATTAGGCTACAGATGGTACACATAAAAGCAAGAGAGCATAATAAATTGCAATGTAACATATATATACCTCAACTTCCCTTATTTCATACTGTTCTCTCCTACTCAAAACCCTAAACTTCACTGTCTCAAGATCCGGAACTAAAAAAAAAAAAATCCGAGGAAAACTGAAATTAATAAATGGAAAAAAGAAGAACAAAAGCCCTCTTTAAACAATAAAAATCAATCAAGTACAAATAAGAAAAGTACCCGCCATTAAAGCTTCCTCTAAATTTCGACTCTCAAACCTTTTTGGGAAGACATATTTCGAAGTCTCACTAGCTATGTCCATCAAAACTGCAAGAGAAAAAAAAAAATCACATTAAAAAATTGACAAATACATGGAGCTTGAGAAAAAACGAAGGTTGTGAAATTAAATTTAAAAATTGGAAATTTTGAAACAGAACATTTACGTCGCTGATAGACGGAGGAGGCCTGAGAAGCTAGAGCGAAAACGAGAGAGATTCGAGATTCGAAGGCGGACATGGTTCGTCTCCGCGATGGAGCTAAGGTTCTCGAGGTTGTTGCTGGCTCTGTGGGGGACATGTTCTTGGTGACGCTCAGTGATGCTCTGACTACGCTTGGGTTTTGAGTTGAGGTGGAAATTAGGGTTTTAGGAAGAAATTGAGCGGTGAACAGAGGCTTGCAGAGGAGCATTTTTTCGCCGGAGGTGGGAATTGTCTGTTACTGCCTCTTGAAGCTTTAAATTTCCGTTGCAGAAGTGCGAGAAGAGGCCGAGCCATTATATATGGGATTGGTTTTCCCGGGGACGATTTTTTATTTTATTTTATTTTATTTTATTTTTGAGAAAAATGATATTTTTTCGTGGGACGATTAGGACCGTAAAATATAGATATTTTATATTTTGATTAAGGGTTTTTCTAAGCAATAATATTATACACGTAATAATAATATTTTTTTTCATAAATATATATAAATATATAAAAATTAAATTAATATTTATATTATTATTAAGTAAAAAATGATATTTTTTCGTGGGACGATTAGGACCGTAAAATATAGATATTTTATATTTTGATTAAGGGTTTTTCTAAGCAATAATATTATACACGTAATAATAATATTTTTTTTCATAAATATATATAAATATATAAAAATTAAATTAAATTTTATATTATTATTAAGTAATAAATTTAATTAAATGATTAATAAATTAAAAATTAAAAATTATTTTTTCAACATAAATTAATAACAAAATATATATTTATCAGTTTGATTAATTAATTTCCTTCTTATTTTTCTAAAGCCCCTTGATCTTTTTAGGCATAATCCTAAGTAGTACCCCTTAAGTAAATTGTTTGTTCCAATAAAATCTGTCAACTAATTTTTGTCCCAAATCAGCCTTTCAAACTGGTTTTTTAAAAGTAAGTGAATGACAAGAAATAAAAATGAATTAAGATAAAACCAGCATTTTCATGATCAAGAAAATCATCAGTTTCTTGTAAATCAACTTGAACTAAAGTTCTTACACCACACCACACCATATTTTCTGGTATAGTCTATATTTCTTGGCTTCTTAATAGACCTGACAAATGTACATGTTGGATCGAATTCAGGTCAAATCAACTTGAATAATGGGTTGGGTTATAAATGTATCGTGGGTTAGAAAAGTCCAACCCTAGATTAACTTGCGAGTTGACTTTATTTTTATTTTTTATAATTATCTTTCATTAATTTTATTACATATAAATAAATTTGTATATATCTAAATTAATTAAAATATTATGATTTATTAACACTAAATACTTTATAGTTTTAATAACAAACATTTAAATTAAAAAAAAAAGTAAAAAAGTTATAAATAATAATAAATTGATTAACAATAAAAATATTAAACATAAAATATTTAAATTTCTTGAAAAACAAAGTTTTAATTTTATAATTATCTTGAAATATTATCAAGTTGTTTAATCTATTTTTTTAACGATGAAATTGCTCTTCCAAAAACATTTTTCACTAAATTATTATGTTTATGTCCTAACATTATATTTTTTTAATATTTTTAATTGCATTATCATTTCATTTATGATATTTGGGTAATTGTTAATACCAAAAAAAAAAAAATGATACTTGGGTAATTAGATCAAACTTATCATAATATCTTCTTCTTTCTCTAGAAATTAAAGAGTATGAATTAATGAAAGGAGTTACCAATAGAAAAATTAATTAAAGATAATAAGTATAATATTTAAAAATAATAATAAAAAATAAAACAAACAAATCAACCTGTCAACCTGTGGGTTGACCCTAACTCAACCCGTGACCCATACAGGTTAATAATACGAGTTATCTATGAATTGCGGGTTACGATATGTAAATCCTAACTCGTTTTTTACGGATCGAGTTATGATCGGATTGATAAGTCCGGTGGACTTTTAGCAGGTCTACTTCTCAATGACTGCTAGAATTCTTAGGATGATCGTCTTCCCATGTCAAATCCATGACGCCGGACTCTCCATTACAATTCTAAATATTGTACGTTGGAGATTGAAAAAGATTGGTGAGGTATCTAAACTGTCAAAACCTCCTGCCGAGCATGCCAAGCTACGACATCCTTGTATGCCAAGTTACCTCCAAAAATATCCAGGGAACTCCCCACGGTAACATCCGCACGTCCCATTCCTGCTACCTTGATCCTCTCTAAATCGTCCATTACTGTAACACCACCAGCATATGTCACTGGAATCTGCCAACCGCATTCAGCAATGTGTCAATAATTTTTACAAATGTAAGACAGCAAAGACTCATCAACACATACAGGTGTCTTTGGCATCCAACAACTGGGAAATGAGGAAGGAGAAGGATATTTTTGGGGACCTAATAAGATACTATGCCTAGGCCACTCACCGGAGAGTACCTTCCAAGTAAAGCCACTAGCTCTTCATCAATTCCCAGCCTGCAATAAACAAACATTTGACATTAAAAATTACAATGTATTGAGATAGAATTTCTTCTCCATATTCCCTTCATACAAATTTCAACCTAACAAGTAATAACTCTACCAGCCCTTTTATATTCACATTAATGAAGCACCATACTCATCATGCTTGTAAATTTATTAATTGGTTAGTAGGAACGAGTCTGATGATCACAAAAGTAGAGGCAGCAGTGCTGTCATTTGCAGGAAGGTAAACACTTTAACACCCCCTAATAGGAGTTCCAAAGAGTGACTGAGAATAGGCCTTGAGCTAGGAATAGGCCTTGAGCTAGGACCCAGCCTATGCAACTCCAAACATCTATCCATAAGACTAGAACACCCAGAAAACTAGAAAACTGATCACAATAATTCTAATGACAGAGAAGATTTAGAACCAATATGACATAACATCCTCCTAGAAAAATAGAACAATGATATATTAAGACCAAAATAGATGTATGAACAAGTAATCTTAAATCACGTAGATGCAACTAGCAATATCTAATATGAGGCATGATTAACACTTACTTTTTCCCTTCAACATCGACACCATGAACCAGAAACTCATCTGCATACTTGGCAAGAAAATTCAACAGTTGCTCATCAAGATATACATCACTGAACTTTTGCCATCGATCAGTGACAATTGCATATTTACCTTCCTGCATATCCCAGCCAGTATGTTAAACTGTTAGTTAAAATTTAGTTTCAAACTAGACAGGAGGACTATGGATGCTCTTGAAACAGTTATTTTACAGGCCAGAATATTGGGACACCCTGTGTTATCAGAGACTGCTTCTAGTTTCCTGTTCTAAAGTACAGCCTTTAGCATAACATGCTCTAAGTGATAGCCAAAACTAAGAATTCAAAGAATTGAACAGTTGCAACCAAAATTGGATAAAATATCTTAGTCATCAAGGCTTAATCTTGAATTCCACAACATTTTACCCTAGGATACGAGATAGGGAAGATTAAGTATTTATACCTTCTTTCTGCAGCTAAGGTCCAACACGAGTCTCTGTTTCCCCACAACATGGACAATATCTTTGAGCCTTTCAAGATCCATTTGACCATTGCTGAACACATACTGGAATAAATACAAGTACATGAATAAAAAATATTCTATGAAAAGTAAACTCCAGAGAGAGAGGGGAAAGGGAAAGGGAAAGAAGGGCAGGACTCAAATCAGAATCAACAGAGCATTTTTTCTAGAAATTCCTTTGAAGAATCTTATAGAGAGTATACAAGTTCATCACATACTGAAGTGACAATAACATGGCTGGCTCCTTCCTCTATGTAACTCAAAGAATTGTCCGATTTGATCCCACCTCCAACTTGCAACCCACCTAGAGTTACCCAGTCCTCGCAGTAAGTTTAGCAGAGGAAAAATCTGTAAGTATTAAACATTATCAACTAGAAAATACAAGTTTCTTTGAAAACTAAGAGAAATAAGACTTCTTGTTTGTGCCTGTAAAGTTAATATGTCCTTCCTTTAATTTTTTGGTGATGATAAATACTTCTATGCAAGTCCAAAAATAAATTATAGAATTGTAGATATAGACAATAGATTCTGAGGTTTGATTCAAATAGGTCAGAAATAGGTTTCATCCTCAGCACAAACACATAGTCATAACATTAGCACAAAAGCACCAAAACAACCAGAAAGACAACCACAACAACTTATACATCATTCACATCATCACATAGAGAGAAATCACTAAAAATCTGAGGGCTATTTCAAATATTAAACTAAGAATACAAAAGCTGCGACAAAAGCAATAAACTTTTATGAAAGTTCTATTTCTCCAAGAACAAACACCAGGTATCTAAAAATCCACACTAAAAAGTAGGGTAAGATTGACCATGTGTGAAATGTTTGCACTTAACTATAAATTTTTCAGTAATAAAAAGTGATCTTGACTCTTAGTACTATGTACAATGATTGAGAAATCTCCTAATAAACCCACAAGAAACATGAAATGCAATGCCAGCATACCAGGATAGGCACGGAGAGCTTCAATAGCTGCAGCTTTGCTTGGAGGATCAGCTCCAAGCATGATTACATGACCCCCCATAAGTCCATCTTGTTTGTACAAATTTGCAAACTCTGCAGCCGACTTATCTGATTCAAAATTGGTCACAAGAATTGGTCCATCATCTGAATCCCTCAGAGTTGACCCAACGATTTGTTTAACTTTCCCCTAAAACAAATCACAATTTAAACACCAAAATTGAAGCAAAACACATTGATGACAATCTAAAACAACAGAATCGCAGTACAAAACAAGAAACTTGAGAAATTGAAAGCTTTCATGTTCAGTTCAGGTACCTTGTGAATGTCAATGCAGGGGCGAAAACGAACCGCGCAGCGGAGAGATAAACGAAAATGTTCTGCAAGACGTGATTTTTATGAAGAAATCCAAAACCCAATGAGGAAAAAGAGAGGAAGACGATATAGAAGTCAGGGAATTACTGGAATTTGTTGTCTGCGTCGGTCCGAGGAATGCGTACTTCTGACAACCATAAAAGGAAGACTTGAAGTTCCGATCGAGCGAAGTAATGGACGTACCGGAGACCAAACCCGCTTGGAGGCTTCTGGATCTCATTTTCTCGCACAAACTGCAACTAGACGGCCAGAGAGTGAGAAAGGAGAAAAGGGTGTGTGGTGGGAAGGTAAAACGCACCGTTTGTTGGTTACGTTGCGAGGTCTTACTCGTTGTCCGGGAAAATTATAAAGTCTCCCCGAAACCAAACAGCCCCCCCGCCGTCGAAGATTGTTGCTTTGATTTCTTCTGATTTTCCGACCGAAGGGATGCACAAAAGTGTTCGCCTTTTGCCAATTTGCCAGTAGCTACTGCCTAGTGTAATCGGAAAAGAATGCGCCTGAGGAGGAACTTTCTTAAACCACTCCAAAAGCCCCAACCACCAGCGCCGCCGCGACCACAAGAACCACTTATTCCGCTTCCAGAGCCGCCGGAGACTCCACCACTCCCTACTCTTTCGCTCTCTCCCACCACTCCTTATCCCCATCACAACCACCAACTCAATACCTTCCTCAAAACCCATCTTGCCCATCAACCCATAACCCCCCAAACTCTCCTCCACTTCCTCAAATCCAAGCTTCACCACCACCCCATCTTCGCCCACTACGATTTCCACATCTTCTCATGGGCATCCTCTATTGATTCATTTCAGCATGATCACTTGACCTTCCTCTGGATGGCTCGGGCTCTGGCTTCCTCATACCGCTTCTCTCAACTACGCTCTCTTCTCAGTTATATTGCTGCCAATCCGTGCCCCTGTTCTCCAGGTATCTTTTCTTGCCCTCAGATGGAACCGCTTTTCATTTTTGTTATTAAAGCTTGTTGCAACGCTCGGCAGTTGAATGATGCCTCATTTGCTTTTGAGACCATGAAAAAGATAATTGACGGGAGGCCGAGTGTTCTTCTTTATAATGATTTGATTCATGGACATGTGAAAAGTGGCGAGTTTGACAAGGCATTGGAGTTTTATGAGAGGATGTTGAGGGACAGAGTTAAGCCAGATGTGTTTACATTCAATATCTTGATTAGTGGGTATTGTAGGAGTGGAAGGTTTGAGTTAGGACTAGAGTTGTTCAGGGAGATGAGGGAGAAGGGGTGTACTCCTAATGTGGTTAGTTTCAATACTTTGATCAGAGGATTTTTTAGGGAGAAGAAGTTTGATGAAGGTGTCAAGATGGCATATGAGATGATTGAATTGGGATGTCAGTTGTCAAGTGTGACTTGTGAGATTTTGGTTGATGGGCTGTATAGGGAGGGGAAGGTTTTGGAGGCCCGGGACTTGGTGATTGATTTCTCAAGAAGGGAAGTGTTGCCAAAGGAGTTTGATTATTTTGGTCTCGTTGAGAAGCTTTGTGGGGAAGGAAATGTGAGTAGAGCTTTGGAGATGGTGTATGAATTGTGGACAAAAGGAAATGTTCCGAGTTCTGTTGCTTGTACTACTCTAATTGAAGGTTTGAGAAGGTCTGGGAGAAGAGAAGACTCATTTGTGTTGATGGACAAGATGCTTAAAGAGGGTATTCTTCCTGATAGTATAACCTTCAATTGTGTTCTTGAAGATCTTTGTGATGTTAAAAGAACAGTGGATGCAGATAAATTTAGAGTTGTGGCTTCAAGAAAGGGTTTGGAAGCAGATGAAATGACTTACAGAATTTTGGTTTCTGGGTATACAAAGGAAGGCAGAAGGAAGGAAGGAGTGGTTTTAGTTGATGAAATGTTGGATAAGGGATTTATACCTGATCTTGCTACTTATAATAGGCTGATGGATGGTCTCTCCGGTGCTAAAATTTCAAGGAGAGTCAATGCTATTCAGAGTTGAATATCAGATTTAAAAATCAACAACTGTTCCAAAATGTTGACTACTTGGATTTCTTACACAATGATGAGGAAGGGCTGCTATCTTTAAGGAGATTTCAAGTTAAACCTCTGATAAAATATGACGCTAATAGAGCTATTTGATTTTTGAGGGAAAAAGACTCTCTAATCAGAGTAGAACAGACGTAGCAGATGTAGAAGCATAGAAAGGTCGATTGTAAATTGGAAATTGATCTTCAACAATTCAGCTGCAAATCCTGTTTGATCATTTAATGAAGTGGAGCCCATGAGTTCAATCCTCAGGACTGTAATTGTGCTGGAGTTCCCTAGCAACTAAAGCTAAGTGCAGTTAACTAGGAAAAATGGAGTATTCCTTGAAATTTAACAGTAGATACAAATTTGAGATTGAAAAATAGGATATCCTGCATACATTGTTGTACTTCATTCATTTCTGCAGCTGCTTACTTTCTGATGATCAGCTGATGAGTAATGGCGGAGGTACTCTCTACTTATCATCTGAGGTAGTTGAAAGAAAAGAGGTGACACACTGAATAATATCACACTGGCACCTTCCAGAAATCATGGTAATGAAGGTTGAAAACTCGGAGTTAAGCAAGTTGCAAGGCCAACATCAGTTCTCGGTGCTACCAATAGATACATTCTATATCATTATTGGATTCATATTGTGACATTTGTGTTTTATTAATGATCATCCTCTGTCCTGCTTTTCCTGCTACCTGTCCAGATCAAGAAATTTGAACAAATTCATGGTGCTAAAACCAGCAACTTGCTTCTGTGTGATTTTTCTAAAGCTGGCGTACTGAAATGACTGTAATTTGTAATTTTTTTTTTATTTGAATATATTGATTATGTTGAATGCAGCTTTGTAAACTTTGAGTCATTGAATTCATAGGAAAAGAAAGCAACAAATACTTTTACAGCATCAACTTGCCAATTCATTTAAATGCTTAAATAGATGCAAATATTCTTCCACATACACATATGCCTGATCAACGCTTAAGATAACAAAAAATGCTAGCTCCCATGATTTCAAAAATATAAAACCTAGCAGTATCCATGTTCAGAACCTTCAAGGCCCCTTTCCCAACAAGCTGAAAATGCTCAAAATTACACATTAGCAAGTGCAGACGCTCAAGACTATCAGCCTCCAGTATGAACTTATCTAAATAGAGTTCTGAAACATTTATGATCTTCAATGAAACAGTACTTAGTACCCAGGTTGTCTGCGGAGGTGAACACAGACGTATACCCAGATCCACAATAGTCAAGTTCTCAATCTTTGGACAAAAGGTAAGAAGAATGTTCAAATCCAATAATGAGACAACAACATGCTCGAATCAAAGTGTCTTCAGGCAAGGAAATTTTTGATAACTACATTCTTCACTTGAAATATAAATATAAGCCAACTCCAAAACTTCAAGTTTATGCCCGTTACATTTCTCAAGAATTTTGATAGTCGGATATATGCTAGCATACAGATACAGTTCACACAAGGTATCTCTAGTATGCGTGAGCCAAGGAAGCACGTCATCAATTGTCAACTCTTCACAACATCTCAAAAAGAATGATAAACACCGTAACCCCTTGGCTGCAAAATTGTTTGAGTGGTGATAGTTTTCAATCTATCAGATCTAAGATCACAATAAATATGGGAAGCACCATCGAAGAATGTGAGAGAGTGAAGGTAATATTGGAAAGCCTCTCTCCATTTCTTGCAAGTAGCAGAAGCAACAACTACATCGAGTGCAGTCCTAAGGTGAGAAAGTATATCCCCTATAACTTCAACAGGAAGGTGCTCCATACCGATCAAATGAAGCAACAAATAACAAACATGGGCTTTGCCAGAAGTTTCTAAAACTAAATACAGACGAATGACAATCCAACCACCTGCAGTTCTCAAAGCAAACAAAGGGAAAATAAACACAGTTCATCAGAGAAGTCAATCAACAATGATCTTCTCAACTAAAGTTAAAATTAATCAAAACCCAATATCAACATTTTAGCCTAGCATTCACTTGGTGACATACTTCATTATAAACAAAGAATCAAAGAAAAGGGCAATCTTTATACAAGAATATGGAGCAAACCCCCTACAACCCACAGTCGTAAACAAATTACTCCACCAGAGTCGTTATTAACATACATAACTTAATCAAACTCTAAAATCTTTGCATCTAAATAGGGAGTGATTTACGCAATATAAAGGTAAAGAAGAGCGTTAATGAGGAAATTTGCCGAGATAAAACAGAGAATGCAGGCGACATACCAGGATAGTAGCAGAAGGATGATTATGCCATCAAAATTCGATGAAAATCAATGTCATGGTATCGGAGCA